CTTGGGTGTGATGTATGCATGGCCAATAAGCTGAATGTGCCAGAGGGGAGCAGGGGGCAAGAGCCAAAAAATCTACACATCAGGAAAAGAAAACCGGAATAAATATCTTAATACCAAATTTATTGAGATACCGTGTGATTAATACAAGTTACCTTTGGCTTCTACAATTACAAGAGGTGCTCAGGGTGGAGGCCATTAACTTCCAGACATTTATTAGTACGGCGAACGGCTGCTTGGGTGACCTTGGTCTTTCAGCTGCTGCACATGTGTTTTCAGGGTCTTCTCTAAGGGCCGGCAGTAGAGTGGGTTTTCTGTGATATACGACATCCTCTATGGTCCCCCATATGACAGTAACACAACCTGTTGAATAAACATCATACCATTTTTTTCCTGAAGTATATATTTGGCTCACTCTCTCATAATAATTAATATATGGACACATCATTTTCAATAATGAGTAACATGCTATTTCCACTGTTTCTTTTTTGTTTTTCCCAAGCAAATTCCTGTTCTAGTCAGCATTTCTCTTTTTTTTGAGACAAGATTTTTCTATGTAGTTCAGGCTGGCCTTGAACTCACTATGTAGTCCAAGGTGGCCTCAAACTCCCAGGGATCCTCCTGCCTCAGCTTTCTGAGTGCCAGTGTCACAGGTAGACGCCACCATGCCCAATTCTGTCAACTTATAGCTACACTGGTCCTCCAATGCCAATTTTTTTCTGAAACTTTTTTTTCCCACAAAGCTACAAATTTAATCTTAGACTCACTTAAAAAGACTTGACAGAGTGCCTGTCTGTAACACAGTATCCTCACCTACTTTCCCTATTGTTCACGCTTGCACTGAGGGCCTTCTTTATCTACTTAACTTTAACTTCTTGCCTGCTTGTATTTCAGTTTGCTTTTATCTTGTAACCTCCAGGCCCAAGGAGGAAGGGCTTCCGTTGGCTTTGGGAGCCATCCAGAATTTTCTCCATCTCTTTGCCCCTTTCTTGGATCTCCTCTCTTTCTCCGTGAGTTCTGTGCACCATACGGCTGCCTTCTACGTCACTCTGTTCTGACGTTTTGTCTTTTCAAACTCTTCACCCAAAATTTAAACTTCTGGATGCATTTGCCAACGAATTGCTGCCAGAATATAAAAGGAGCATGTTAGTCCACCGTACAGTAACAACGCAGGTGCCCGAGTGTGTCTCAGAAACGTGTAGGGGAATTTAGGGTTGTCACGATCACTGAGGGACAGAGGGAGATACTGACCTGTAATTGATTTGCTAGACAGCCTGTAATCCAGGAAGCCAACAGGTTTTTTGCGGCTTTTTTTAGGATTTTGTGACAGGGTTTTACTGTGTATCCCACCTAAACCCGAATTTGCTCTGTAGCCCAGGATGGTTCCAAATTCACGATCCTCCTGCCGCAGCCTCTCAAGGGCTGGGATTACAGGCATGTACCACCGTACCTGGTTTTCCATCAGTTTTCAATGTCCTACTGACATGTCTAAGGTTCCAACTAACTCAATTTTACATATGCTAAGCTATAGTTTAGTTTTAATATAAACTAAAATTTCTAAGAATTCTTGGTGAAAAACAATGGAAGATTATGTTTGTTTGTTTGAGACATGGTCTTGCTATGTAGTCCAAGCTGGCCCCAAACTCCTAGTGATCCTTCTGCCTCAGCCTCCCAAGTGCTGGGATTACAGGCATGCACCCCCACATCTGGCTATATTTTTATGTTTGATAGAGTCAGAGAACCCTGTCCAAACTTTTATGGCACTCTGTAAAAACCAAACTGCCAACAGTAAGTCCTCATGACGCTTGAGCACCAGGAGAGCTCACCTGCTGCAGCTGTAGTTTTTATATTTGTGGTTCTGCATATAAATAGCTAGATGATTACTTTGTGTGTGTGTGTGTGTGTGTGTGTGTGATGCTGGAGACTGAACCACATCTTTGTATCAAGTGTTCTACTATTAAGTTACTAATTTACATCCCTAGCTCCTGTGCATATTCTACTGCAGACATGCCTTAGCCTTTATATTTTGAAATATTTATTATTTTGCTGTTCCAAAATTTGTTTCTTCTTTGAATTACAGCTAAAATATTACCCTGTTGTTCTTATAGATGGGTCATGATATCCGTGTTTTTCAGGCTGGAAGTGGTGCCCCAAATTCCAGTAATGCCAGCCCTTTGAAGACTGAGACAGGAGGATCCCCACAAATTCCAGGCCAGCCTGGGCTGCAGAGGGAGTTCAAGTCCAGCCTGAACTACACAGTGAGACCCTGTGTCAAAAAAAAAAATCTGTGATTTTCATTATAGGACAACAAAAGGTCTATTCAAGATACATAAAGTAATGTTGCCAAAAGTAAATTAAGAGCCATTAATGTAACAAAACACTCTAAGACGAAGACTTTCCCTCCGTTTTCCAGGCTACTGCCGATCATATGACCACGCCATACAAAAGCCTCATTCCCATTTTCAAAGAGCACAAGCTTTTTTAGGGACGCAAGCTGTTCTATAGGTTCACAGAGGGTGCAGATGACAACAAATAAGACGTGTGCCGTCCTTAGGAATGGAAACCGTCTCACACAGGTGATCTGCTTCTGGGTTTACAAGAGTATTACACGGCTAACAAATAAAATGCCTCCCGATGATTCTTCTGAGGACACAGTGGACTACAGTAAAAACGGAAACAAAAAAGCACACCGCTTGTTCTATTACGGATCCACTGCTGCATCTTCTCTTATAGGCGATCGGAAATCACAGAGGTTAAACCACCAAGACTCTCAAAGATAAAAACCTTACAACTTTTTTTCATCAGGGTCTGTTTCAGCCTCCTCTTGGAAATACATCAGAAAACCAAGAAGTTAAATGACTGCGCACGGTTCTGAGGTATCACCTTTCCAAGCAAGAGTACAAGAATACACAGCATGTCCTATCACGCTCGCTTCTCCCCACTCGGCAGATGGAAAGTCCAAGGTAACGAAGGTCATCCTCAGACGCGGGCAGCAACAGCAAGGATCACGCCGCCTACGTACCGCATCCCCATCCCGCCCCGCCCCCTAGGGCTGCCCGCGGCGGTGCCTGACTGGAGGCCCACGCAGGGGTCCTCGCGGGGTCCTTCCTGCGGGCTCCCGGCGCACTGCCTGAGTGGGCGCGCGGGCGGCTTCCGGTGTGAGTGACGAGTGGTGGCCGAAGTAGGGGGACAGCAGGGGACGCTCGGGCAGGGACGATGGCGGACGGCGGTTCGGAGCGGGCTGATGGGCGCATCGTCAAGATGGAGGTGGACTACAGCGCCACGGTGGATCAGCGCCTGCCCGAGTGCGAGAAGCTGGCCAAGGTGAGGGGAGGCCGGCCGGCTGTTGGCGGGCGCCAGCGGCTGAGTCACGGCGCTGCGCCCGCTTAGGCCTCAGGGGGCCTGCGTGCTGGAGCGCGCACCCCGCGCCGCCCGCCGGCCTGCGGATGCCCGAAGCGGGGACCCCGCGGCGGCTCGGCCGGCGAGGCTGCGCAGCCCGGCGCGTGCGGCTCTTCCCGGCCCCGCTCCGGGACGGACAGCCGCTGCCTCCCCGTGGGCGCTGGGGGCCCCCTTTCCGTGTCTGCCTTTCTCGGGTGCCGTTGGACATGCAGTAGTTTCCCGGGGGTTACGGCCGCTTCAGCCTCCGGGCCCGATCGCTGTGGCCTGAGCCGGTTCCGTCGTTACATCGATCGTGAATCGCGGCGGCGCGCCTGGTCCCCGGCCGGGAGCCGCCGCAGGACAGGGAGCGCGGGCCCGAAGGGCGGTGCACGGGACGCTGTAGTCGTCGTGCGGGGCGGGCAGCCGGGCGAGCGCGAGGTGCTGCTGGAGCACCGAAGGACGGGCGCTGCTCGTTGCTTCGTGCTGAGAAGCTGGCGCTTGTGTTGGGTTTTAATCCGAAGTGGTAGGGTTGGGATGGGAAGGCGTTATTCCCAGAGGCAGAAGCACCGGAGGAAGGACGGGCAGGGCGCTGAAGTGCAGAATAACCTCCTTGAGTTAGTAAGCACCCCCGCTGTATGATCACCGCGGAGGAACATGTGGTTGTTCACTTGGGGCGCCGGCATCCGAACCCAGGGCCTTGGGTGTGCCGGGCAGATGCTTTGCTCTTGAGCTGCACCCTCCACCCCTCTAAGGTGCAGCAGAAACTAAACTGGGCCCAGACATTTTGACACTGCGTGCTGTGTGTCGGGCAACTTAGCGTATCATTTTACACAGAAAGAAACCGAGACTCAGAACGACTTGCACAGGGTTACAGTTAGGAATACCTAGAATGCAGGTTTCGTAGCTGGATGTGCCTCGTTAGGGTGTGGGGTCCCGGCTAAAGCGCCTCTGTCACGGGCTGTTGCTCCAGGGAGGGTTACACTCGGGCCTCATTAACTTCCTAGATCAATTCAGCCACAAACTTGTGTTACTATACACCTGGTTCGCGTTTGCTGAGAGTGTTTTTCTTCTTTAAAGATCGTACTACTGTGTAGTAAGTTAATAGGGGAGAGGAGTGTCGAGTGATGTATCACCTTCACTTCTTAGAAGGAAACCTTTTTAATGTTGAGAGGAGTTCTTACGAAGTTGCCGAGGCTGCCTAGATCTTGTCATCCTTCTGCCTCATGCACCCAGAGTCCTGGTATGATAGGCCTGTGCCACCCAGCCTAGCTGAAACCTTTTTTTTTTTTTTTTTTTTTCATTTATTTTATAGAGATGGATTTCTTTCTTTCTTCGTTCATTTTTGGAGACAGGGTCTCCCTTTGCACTTCTGGCTGGACTTGACTTGGGCAGCAATCCCACTACCTCAGCCTCCCGAATGCTAGGATTACTGGCATGCACCACCATGCCTGGCTTTGAGGGAAACTTTTTAAATACTTTCATTTTTTTTTTTTTTTTTTTTTTTTTTGGTACTGGAAATCGAACTCACGACCTTTCGCTTGTCCGGCAGGCGCTGTGCCGCTGACCTAAATCCCCAGCCCCTTAAATACTTTCCTTTAAAAAAAAAAAAAAAAAGATTTTAATGGGCATTTACAAAAACATGATGTAGAAAGGTAGAAACATGATGGTTGTAGACAGATGATGAAATTTCCTTTAGATGGTAAAATTGATACACCTGGTTTTCTTAGGTTTAGAATATTTACTGAGAGGGAGCCATAAAACCGTCTGGGGGCAGCTAGTGTTAAGTAGCATTGTCAGTTTCATAAGGTTGCAGATGCCTGCAGTGTCATGCAGGTAGCGATAGCCAGTACTGATTGTGTCGTCTCTGTGTACTAGGGACTCTACTAAGCGCTTATATGAACTGGGTCATTTGCTCTCCCCTCTGTCCTATGCAACAAATACCACTATTTTTATGTTACAGACAAGGAAAGTGAGGCTAGGGGAAGTTGAGTCATATGCCCCAGATTCCCATTACCAGGGACTGGTAATGCGGAAGAGTCAGATTGGAACCAGGCTCACTTATTCTAGAGCTTGTGCTGTGAGCCAGGTGGAGTAAGAGCCTGAACGCCTGAGCACCTACCTAGGGGAAGAAATGGTTCTCCACCTCTAGTTAGTCTGTACCAGCTGAGGGTGAAGATGAGCTTTGTCAGCGCTGCTAATTTGAGAGAAATTTCACGATGTGAATTTTTGTGTGAAATACCTTAATACTTAGAAACTGGACTCTAATCTGTCTTAGGGTACTCTTTGAGGCAGTGTGGTGTGGATCAAACAAAACACACCTGTAGGACAGTCAGCCCTCAACTTCCACTTTGTAATTAATAGGACTATAGTGTCCATGAAGAAGAAACAAATTATTTGCTTAAAGAACTACAACTGTGCCTAGAATTGAAATCTAGGAGGAAAACAAACGTTGTATACCATTTTCTTCACTGTTGATACATAGTCAGTGCTAGACACCTCAGGAAGTGTCAAGTAGCTTACAGACCAGTAAGGAAGAAAGCTGTCACTGCTGCAGTTCCAGTGATCAGAGGTGTGGCATTTATTTAGAACATTGTTACAATGTTAATACAGTTGAAAAGATCTGCACACTCAAATGCCAGGTGCCTTTCCCTGTTAACTGAATAATGTCTTTAAAGCAAAGAATGTTAGACAAAATGAAAGGTATTTGGCTTCCTGTTTTTTGTTTTAAGTCAGTGTGCTAGCTAAGCAAAGCCTGTGTGTGGAATTTTGGGTTTTTTTGTGGGTGTTTTCATGGTGGAGAGAAAGAGTGCTAGGAAATGAGAGGATACACTGTTCTCCCCTGCTGCACACAGGTTCACCGTTTCCAACTTTTAGATTAAGTCGCTGTCTTCCAGTCCTGGTTAATTTTTTAAATGCTGTGTTTCTCCGTTTTGCACTTTGCTCACCTTACTACGTTTTACCGGCTGGGTTCTCTATTATGCTCACTTCTCTGAAGAGAAAGATTGAGGGTCAGAGCAGGGTAAGTTTTATGCACAGGGTAACGCGGCAGTAGAGCTGAGTTGGCCCAAACACTCTGGCTGCAGGGTCTGTATTTTTAGCTGTTTCGTTCTTTCGCCTCTGTGATTGGTGTGTGAGGCCTGATGCCAGCATGATGTGGCAATAAAAGCAGTACTGGTTCCTGAGACAGTTGTCTTTTCCCCTGGTGTTGTGTTGATGACATAAAAACTGATTTAAAGGGGGCTTTCCTGAACTGTAAACATAATGTGTGTAGCCCTTCTTAATACATAGAAGGGTTTCCGAAAATCCAGCCCAGCTCCTCATGCTGAGCCCCATCACTAGCCGTAATCTCACTTTTTGGTTATGCTCTAAATCTGAAGGCTACTTACATTCTTTTTTAATTTGTTTTTTTCAGTGTGTGTGTGTGTGTGTGTGTTTCCTTATACTGGGAATTGAACTCAGGATCTTCCCGCTGAGCTATATACCTAGCTCATTTTTAAATTTTGAGACAAGGTTGTCCTAAATTGCTAAACTGCCCCGGCTCAGCTCAGCTTGAACTTGTGCTCCTCCTGCCTCAACCTCCCTGGGTTAAATCCCAGAGAGCTGGGGTGATAGCCCTGTGCTACCAGATCTGGCTGCTACTTATATTCTTAAACTGAATGCTATATTTTTTGTTCTCCTTTCTCCTAATGTCTTCATTACTATTTTCCCCTTTTTTGCAGTAGTAGAGATGAACTGAGAGCCTTGTGCATGCTTAGCAAGTGCTCTACCATGGACTGCATCTCCAGATCTTTTTAATGTTGAGACAGACTCGATAAATTACTCAGGTTGGCCTGGAGCTCGCTGAGATCCTCTTGCCTCAGCTTGTGGAGTAGCTGGGATTATAGAGCTGTGTCACCACTCCAGGCTGTTACCACATCTCCTGTCTCCTGCAGTTTCTTCTCAAGGTCAATATTAACAATAAAGAGGAGATGAAATGTAAAAAGTTTACTTATTGTTAACAACTTGAATAGAAGATCATTTTTAAAAGTAGGCTATATAGAAGTATTGGATTTGGTTTGTATTAGTGGTTAACTTTTTATTAACCTTTTTCTTGTTTATGTTATTTAATGAATTAATAGACTGGGTCCCTTTAGGACGTAAAGGAGGCAAACAGACTTACAAGTACCAAACATCTATTGAAGTTGGGCAATCGCAGGTAACTTAGCTCATTACAAAGGTGATTTTAATGAGAACAGTGAGTCACAGAGCTCACATGTTCCAACGAACTTGTTTTGGATTGCTGCAGCCATCTTGTTCCCTCTGGGTGGAAGGGCAGCAGCCAGGAGGTGGGACTTCAGGGACTGTGGATAGACAGGAAGGTGGGAGATGTTTAGAATAGGACTTAGTGTGGAAGACAGGTATCCCTGAAGTAGCACTAGCTTTCCTGTCCTTGTTGTGGCAGTGAGAGTCAAGAATTGCAGGCCATTAAGACCAGCTAACTAGCTCAGGTCAGCGTCCATCCCGTCGGCACATACCTGTACTGTGTGCAAGTTGGTATAAGGGAAGCAGTCATTAGACAAAGATCCAGCCTTAAGGGAACGGACAGACCACTTGGTAAGATGTGCTGTGTCGGAGTGCCTGCAGCAGCAGCATTTCCCGCTGCTCCGTGTGCTGCAGCAGCGCTGACCTGTGGTGAGCAAG